CCCACCACCCCAGCCTCTGTGCTACCCAACTCCTGCACACCCATGCAACCCAGCACCTCTGCAACCCCACATGCCAGCATCTACGCACCACAGAACCTCTGCAACCCAGCATGCCAGCACCCATGCATCCTGGCATGCCAGCACCCCTGCATGCCAGCGCTCCTGCAACCCAGGTACCCCTGCCAGCCCTGCCACCCCTGCACCCCCTGAAGCCTGGCAGCCCTGCAACCCAGCACCCCTGCAGCCCAGCACCCCAGTGGGACCCCTGTGTCCCTCTTTGCTAGGGGCAGGGTGGAGAGGGACATCCCCGTGGCCTCACCTGCACCACCCTCATGTCGAGCCCTGTCTCGGAGGAGAGCTGCTCCCGCACGTGCCGGGCGGGCTTGGGGGAATTTTTGTAGGCGTTCTTCAGCGTCTCCAGCTGCTTGGCCGTGATTGTGGTCCGGGGCCGCTTAGCGCCCGCCTCCGAGTCGTCTGCAAGCAAAAGAGCCGGTACCAGCCCCGACCACAGCAGCACAAGCAAGCCCAAACCTCCCGCCCACACCGCTGAGGAACAGGTCCCCAAAAACAGTTGCCCCAGAATGACCCCTTCCCACAGGTCCAACGCCGGTGACATGACCCACGGCCACCCCGTGCTGTGATGTCCTGCCTCGTAGCCCTTTCGGGGGGCCTACCGTTCTGCTTGGCGGTCTCGTAGTCCTCCTTGCAGACCAGCCGCCCGTCCTCCATCAGGTAGAACTCATCGCCCGTGGCCAGCTGCCGGCTGCAGATGATGCAGGCGAAGCAGTGGAGGTGGTAGACGAAGTCCTGGGCTTTGCGGACCACCTGGGTGGGGGGGATGCCCTGCTGGCACGCCGTGCATTTGGTCCCGAAACGCCTGCAAGGAGAAGCGGGCGACCCTGAGCCCCCCCCTCTGGCGAGGTGGGCTTGGCCGGAGATGGGGTGGGGACCAGGAGGCAGGGCAGAGTTTAAACCAGCAATCAACCTAATTATGCATGACACTTCACACGGCAGGGGTTTATCTTCTTCAGTGTGAAAGACCAGCCTAATGGAGCTGAGGAAGGTTTGATTTTAATGGTTCTTTTAACTAATGCTTATAGGCTGCCTGATTTTTCCCTGCAAGGGCAGTACATATTTCATCCACATTAATACCAAATAAATTAATTACACCGCCCCGCTAGCATGATGAATCCCAGATTAATGCAGAATGATGGGGCTCTTACACCTTAATGACAGCCTGACGGGTGCGTTGGGTGTGCTGGCTTGGGGGAGGCGTGGGCCCAAGCAAGCCCGCCAGCACGGCTGCAAGGAGTGTGCAAGGAGCATGAGGGAAGCATGGAAGCAGCATGCAAGGAGCATGCGAGAACGGGACAAGAATTGTGGAAAGAGCATGCAAGAACGGCACGAGGAGCACGCAAGAAGTGCGGAAGGAGCATACAAGGAACGTGCATCTTGCCCAGCAGCCCCCGCGGATCGCAGGCACTCTGCTGCAGAGAGCCCGGGGTGCCCATCGCTCTGGGTGCGCCCACGAGCTGGGTGCACCCATGTGGGTGCAGCCTAGGCTGTGGCTGGGTGTGGTTGGTCTATGCAGACATGAAGGATAACACCTGGATAACGCCTGGATAACGCCCGCATAACACCGGCAGTAAACTGAATTAATGGTGTGAGGGTGACCCATGCCACGAGGTGGTGGCAGCACAGGACAAAGTCAAAAATAAGTGGATGTTGTCACTGGTGTTTTCAGCACCAGCTGTGTGGGCTTTGGGATTGACATGGGGCAGACCCCCACCTCCCACCAGCACTGCAAGGGCTCTGCTGGGTCTCCCTTGCTCCCCCCAGCACCCCTAAACGCCCCATCAGTGGGGCGCCAGGACCCCACGGAGCCGTCCCGGCGTTGCAGCACAGCCCAGGCAGCAAAGCCATCAGAATAAATATGTCCCCTACGCCTTAAACAGACTCGTCGGCTTCAAAGGAGGCAGCCCAGGAAAACCCAAGCCCTTTGGCCTCCAACCCCAAGGCTGCAGGGGCAGGCAGTGGCTTTTGGGGGTGCCCAGGGGGTACAGCCACCCCAGGCACCTCTCACTGCCCCCCCCCGAGGGCTGAACATCCCCCGA